TTGTGCTCTTTCAGCCTTGTGGAGAAGGAACAGAGAACCGTATTGTCATGGAGCATTGCTCCATTTGCTCCTTGTCACAACTTGTAAAAAAAAATGGAGCATAGTGTACGACTGGTCAGTTGGTCAGTGTACGACTTCATCACTTCAGTGTCAGGTCCTCGGATAACATTTAATGTTGTGCCCACTCTGACAGTCTTTGGCCTTCTGCTGTAGCTTTACATTTCACATCACGGCCGCAGGACATTTTACCACTTTAAGGATATCCGATACTTCCCGACCTTGCCACTCTCCCGGTGTCCCCTCGCCTTTTTAATGCCTCTCTCTGTCATTATCAACTTTTGATTGGTACAGTCAGTGACAGTATCGGAGTTTCAGGATAATTGACAGGTTTTGGTCTCACAGGTTTGGAGGGCTTGTCTGTACTGTAGAAATCATTGAACTGTGAAACTGAGCGAGTGAATTACCTCAGGAAGCACCGATAGGGAGGGATGGGATGGTCGGTGAAGGTCAAATAGAAAATCGTGCATTCACCGAATTATCGAAGACATTCTGATGACACTCGAAGAAGAGAGCATATTTGGAATTTACCAATCTCATCAACAAAAATGCTAATCCCGTGTTGGACTAAAAGCGGTTAACCGTGACATTTGTTTCACAGTAAAGTGCGTTTTCAAATGACTGTGTTGTTTGAGCATCTCAAAGAGCATTTCATAGTAAGTTTACCGTCACTCAACACCCACAACAGATGCCTCGGGGCGGTTGCTTGCGGACAATAAGGGGCAAACGCAGAGTGAGATGTGAATTTAAAACCAATCTCATGGAAGAAGGTGAGATTTAAATCTATTTGAGATTCAGATTATCAGATTGCAGGCCCCTCAGCAATTATTGGCATGAAACAACGGATATAGATCATGCATGAGATAGGACAGTGTGCTTAATTCAGCTTGATTCTTATCAGCGGACAAATCAAAATGCTTAATGTATTAATCAAATTAGTTTAATTCCTTTGCTTCTCATTGAAATATCAAAGTGGAGTAGATCAAAGTGCGGTTTGATGAGATTCAATGTCTTTACCATGACAGATATAATAGAACGGCGCCACACAGTTCAGCAGCTCCAGTTTCTCTATCACAGGGTTTCTTCATTTGAACACTTTGACCTTCATTGCTCACATCAGTGGAATCTGGTGCTGTGAGGCCATTCATTCCCTTTGATTTTATTATTGCCTTTTACTACAGTCACATCCGCAGGAGGCAAGTTAGTTTCATCGTAAAACCCAGGAAGTGGAAGCTAGAAGTACCATGACAAAGGTGCCGGTGGATGATTGGATTTTAACGCTGGTGACAAAGCCCTCTCAGCCGAAAGATCTGCCACAATCCTTCTTGGATCCTAATTGTCAGCACTGCTAAGCTGTTGGCTGTGAACTCAGCTGGTGTCTGAGTTGGTGGGACCTCTATGATTACATCAGAAACTTAAGCCTGTGCTCAAACAAGAGGGGTTTTCATGCAAGTGTTGCCTTTCTCCTGCCAACACCAAACTCTTTGATAGGTCAGTTTATTTCTGTGCAGCAGATGCGGTGCTGCAAGCGATCAGAACGGGTCGGAGTTTTAGAATTTAGACTCATTTTACCTGAAAAAGATTTCATTTCATTTTGTTTGATTTTAGAAAAAAAGACCTGCCCCGTCTCTGAGAAGAGAAATAAACAAATGACGTGTCTGTAAAGTCATCCAGATATCTTGCGTTGTTTTGTTTTTTCTTCTCTCTCGCTTCCCACGAACCAGATGGCAGTCAGATTTCAAACACAGGGTTCTGGAAGACAATCAAGGAACAAGATTGCTTTTTTAGGAAGGGGGATTGGTTTAACTAGATGTCAAATTAAAGACCTTTTCACACACACATACACACACAGAAAGAGAAACAAACAAGTGCATAATCTCGTGGCTGGGTGTGTTTCTGTATCCAGGCGTGTCCATGTTTTTTGGGTGTCGACGCTTGCTGTGCGGCGGTGAGATCGTGTACAGAAATCTGTCTCAGAGCACCCCCTGATGGAATACCACACCACTCTTAAGGTCAACCGCACAAACTCTGCCACGCAGGTTGATACAGGGACTCGTGAATGTTTGATTGGTCTATTATCCGAGCCGGGCGGGGACATTCATCCCCCGTTTACTGGAATTCAAATAGTCCTTTTAGTCTGACATTTCTCCCACACCGTCTGATGTGAGCCCTCAGTTTCCCTCTCTCTCAGCTCGCTGGGCTTCATCTGCAATGCTGTTATCTCACTGTAGGACAATTCTACACAATGCGCTGTTTTTAAAACCGGTGCTGGTGCGAGCGCAGTATGGTTTCAGGTGGATGAAACTGGGGAATTGATACTCAGTCATTCCGACACTCCTCTTCCTCCTCTGCAGGGTGGATAAGGATCTGGCCATCCATCTTCGTGTCTCACCCATGTCTGCTTGGGGTAGCAAACGTGGGTACCTGGTAGTCGGAGACAACAAGAACAAAGCAGGAACATTACTTTAATCTCTCGTTGCTGCTAATTCCTGCCTCTGCCGTCATCCAGGAGGCAGAGCTGTGTGTATCTCAGCTTCCCCCATATGAACAATCCATCACTGTTAGTGTTTCTCTCCAGAGTGTGCTTGCTCCTTGTTTTTTTCACCTGCCCCACTACTATGCTTTGCTTTCAAGAGAAAGGAGCACAATATATTGTATCTTACAGATTGGAATTATTTTCACATCCAGCAGCATGTTGCGGCTCCTCCCACTAAAATAAAACACACTTGAGCAATCACGTTTACGTGAGAAAAAGCTTTCCTGCATTTTTTATGTGGATCTCTTAATAGGCTTTTAACAGTACATCCGGAATCTATAATTGACACCTGCTTTCAGGCTTCATCAGTGATTACATAGGAAAATTACTTGACCTGTAATGAACTGTAAAACTAATGACATCTGTGTGAGATTACTCAACTTGAAAGCAAACTGTTGTACATGAAGTCCCATCAAGCGTGATATTAAAATGTCCACTTTTACATCTTTCCGTCCAAGCTCTGTAAAAGCCCAGGCTGTTGGGCCCAACGTGATGGAAACCTGAGGCTAATGACTCAAGCAGACGGCCGTGGGCATTAGACAAGTTCATTTATGAAATAGTCAACCTCCCGTGTAGCGATACATTCACATTACCCTGCCTCACTTGAGAGACGCGCGGCTGTCACAGCCACTGAGCAATGCTGATGTCCTTTCCTACCTGCATTCATCTTCCTCTCAGGAGGTAATGGTCTTCTCAAGTCATTTGCGCATTAGGGTCTCAATCATTCATCTCACCCACCGGCAATCCTCTGGATTGCTGGTCCTCCGCAGCACATAGAGGGATGTTTAGAAGACAAGGAGAACATACATGCTCAGAATCATTCATTTGCTCTCTTTTACTAAAGTCCCAGTGCTGCCTAAAGTGTCTGCAGAGGGCTATTCATGAACATGCAGGTGATGTTCAAATGATTTGTGGGTGTAATTTGCAGGTTTGTGCCTTGGAGAAATCAGGGTTTGTTTCCTTATTATTTCACAATGTTGAATGATAATTACCTCTTTATGTGGCAACAGGATGTCAAAATGTGGCTTAGTTAGTCAAGCAAGTGATTTAGGTGTTTAGTACATCGAAACTGGACCAACTTTTCACTATTGTCACGAACAAATCAGTAGCTTTTAGCAGTGGAGCTCCCCTCAATGGTTGCTGAGTGAATGTATGTTGGTTCCTAGTCAAAATATTATTCAAAGACCACAATGCCACAGAAACAATCATGATACGATAACTTTGTAACACACAGTTGGCTGCTGTGCCATTAACCTTACCCAAACAGTGTCTGTAGTCTATTTCTGTACTGAACTGAATTTTGAACCAGGAGCACTCTGAATATGAGGCTATACTACTGAACAGAATCAGTGCTGAACGTTGGTATGAATGGCGATTCGTTCACCTACTGTTGTAGCCACTGAAATGCATTTAACGGCAATGCAAATGCTTATTTTAGATAAAAAGTGAGCGAACTATATGAAAATGTAAAGAAAAAATGTGTTGAAATAAATCAAACGAAACAATTGAAAACAGCGGAGTGATAAGTAAGGGGCAACGGACGTGTCGGCAAATGTAAAGAAAGTAAGATCATGAAGACGGTTTGATTTTAGCTTTACCTTGAGCCCAAACAGGTCTGACTGCCTGATAGAAGACAGGCACATTCATCTCTTTAATGGGGATGATTCAGTCCCATCTGACGTATGTACGACCGTTACTCTGTTCGTGCTGAATCCAGCCTGCTCAACATTTGTATAATGTTGTAAAATTGCATGCTTGTGCTTAGATCAGTGTCGTGCACGATTTCCAAAGAGCTGCTTTTCACTTTATCTCGAACACAAATAGTTTTAATGTGGTTTTAGTGTGTATCTGCATTCATTATTTAACGTAATTGATGTGGGAAGAAGGACAAAACACACATGTGGCTGTCGAGGCCCACACACTTAAGCCGTTTCTCCAGGGTTCGGCATCACGCTGTTCCCTTCGCCTTTTGCTTTTACTTGATGTGATACTACTCCCTGTATCTTTCACAAGCTGTTTGCGGCGAGCATAAGTCACAGGGGATATGTAGCACATTTGGCCATGATGTGAAAGCATTAGCTGGTGCCAGCAGGTGTGTAATTATATATGAAACAGGGTTTTAAAAGAGGAACATCACGATGGCATGTAGAAAGTAGGCCAAGAAGAACAGGCTTCACAAAATTCCTATTTATTCCTCACCCACTTCAAATGTGTGACTTCGTTTTTGAAGTTGTGAAATAATCCAAGGTCACTCTGACTATTTCAGGACTATTAAAAATAACATTAGACACACAACAATTTAACATGATGAAACGAGCCTCCAGGGCAGATTCTTTCAAAGGAATGCTTTTCTTCTTCTTGTTTTTCTACCCCAGTGCTCACTGTTTGTCTGTTTTCTGTGTTTCAGGTATGGTGACATGGTGCCAAAAACAATCGTAGGGAAGGTGTTTGGGTCCATATGCTCTCTGAGTGGGGTGCTGGTCATCGCCTTGCCTGTTCCTGTCATAGTGTCAAACTTCAGCCGTATCTACCACCAAAGCCAGCGGGCAGAGAAACGCCGAGCCCAGAGGGTACAGACTCTCCCCCTCCCTCTTCCTTTTCCCTCTCTATCTCTCTTTATTTTGCTTCTATCTGCCTCTTTCCTCTGTCCCTGTCTTATCCGCACGTAACAGAATGACAGGGCAAACACTATCTTCCAGAATATTAATCTTTTATTGTGTTTCTGCGTGTGTGTGTGTGTGTGTGTATTGGATGGGCTCAACTTCCTTGAGTATATTTCAGTGGGAGAAAGAAATAAGCAAGGGAATGACAATGACTAAACAAATGATCTTCAGAGTATTGTGTCAGCAGCTTTTCAATAGCAATATGTGCATTTCTTCCTTAAAACTGTTTGCTAAGGCAGAATTTCCTAATGGTAGGGTTAAGCATGGCCTCTCCCTACTAGATACTGTGGCTGCCAGAAGGAGACAGAGTCAATTAGTGTGACAGACAAACCGTCAGAGGCTAAAACAGAGGTCTGTTTGTTCAAACAGAAATCTCGGCTTGCTAGAATCCGTGCTGCGAAGATTCGAGGCACTAATGTCTATATGCGCTACAAACAAAATGGGCTCCTGATCGACCCACTGGAGGAGGTAACGAGACCAAGCAGCGGCTTGGGGGCTGACTGACTGGGGCCTCGCTGATGCTTGCATGCCGCTCTGCTCGGGGCCATGCAACCACACACGGGAGGGGGAGCGGGGTTTCTCATGCTGTAACACAGGGGCTGCTGTCATTCCAGTGCTTCAGTGTGATCGTCCTCTCTCTTACATCACACTTCTCAGCTGCAGCATTGACATGCTTCCTCAACACTCTCTCTCTCTCTCTCTCTCTCTCTCTCTCTCTCTCTCTCTCTATCCATACAGCAGGAGGGCCAGGCAGGCACACTTGCCTTCTGGTGGAGCACAGCCATTACCGTCACACTGACTCATGACCAAGCTCTGCATGTCTGTCCAACAGGGTTTGGAGGGGAAGGAGGAAACCAAAGGCTTACTGCTATGGAGGCTGTCTGCTCGGCCTGCATCTCCTCTAAACTCTGTTTTTTAATCTGCTGTGTGTTCCGTGTGTTATTTCTAGAGCATCCAGGTTGTAGTGCTAACTAACACAACATACCTTCCACCCCAGAGCCGTGCAGAGCTCCATCAAAGTGTACAGTGTTGTCGTGGTCTGAAATCTGTGATGTGTTTGGTGCAATCTGTTCGATCTGTGTCTAGGTGTGCCACTGCTGTTGCACTGAAATTACCTCTAATTTGACGTTTCTGGTCCTTGTCACCAAATCAGCTAAAGAATGGCAAAAATACAATTTTATCAGTGAAACATGTTGTGGTCAGCCGCTGTGTCTACGCATCTCTAAAACATTCACACCTCACTAGGATCTCAGTAGATTGGCTGCCGTGCTACAGATCAGCATTTCAACCCTCAATGCTTTGTGTACTCTCCACTACATCACCGAACTAGCTGTTGCCTGAGACTCTGTGTCCATGCAGAATCTTAACCTGCTCATCTACACTGTTGTTTTGTTTTTTACTGTGTCTTCGAAGGCCTGCAAGGAGGCAGGACAAGCCCTGGTGGCGAAGGCCCCCAGCCCTCCTTTTGAGAGCCAACATAATCACCTGCTGCACTGCCTGGAGAAGACCACGGTAAGATGCCTTTTCTTCCTAAAACTTCAAAGCTAAGTCCACTGGGGAAAAAACCCACAATCACTTTGGCATCTTTCATTCTTACTGTCTTGGTCACAGGGTATAGATAGCTCACTGTAAAAACAGCTCTTGTATGAAAAATTACATCACTTCTGTCTGTGTTGTATTATCAGTAGTACCAGGATTTTGCAGTGTCTTGTAAATAGAAACAAAGTGAGTTTTGTCATCCATGCACATGTACATTCTTTTTTTAAATGCAGCACAAGTTAAAAATATCTGTAAATTGGACTGGGAAACGTTGCATCCCCTCGCCAGCAACATGCTAAAGATAACATGACTCAAGCAGCCAGTAACATTATTCTCTCCAAACAAATCAACATACTTAATTTTACGCTCTCTATAATTTAGAGCTGTACGAGTTTTACACATGCAGCTCTAAATCCTGTACAGAGACATGGACAGGCAGTAAATCAGTGTCCCTCCACAAAGATGATCCTCCCCCCATGTGAAAGGCTTGCTGATTGTCTGGGAAAAGCTCCATAAAGGCTTCATGCCATTCAGATGGCACATATTTACATCAGGCCTCTCACAGTGTGCATTATAGATGACAGGATGCGTGAGTGACAGAGGGAAGGTATAAAACAGGAGGCACCAAGGCATGGCATCAGATCCTGTGCGGTGTCATTCTGCCACCTGCTGGCTGAGCCTGAAACCCTCGTGGAGTCTGACCTTCAAGTCATGCTCATTTGTCACAGGGATAACAGTTGTGAATGTTTTCGCAGATGGCGCTTAATATGGACATCTGGGCCAATGTATTTCTGTTCCCTTAATGATTCATTTTCCAATTATTAAACAATTTTGCTGTGGATCCTGTTCAGTCTGTTTAGTCTTTACTGTGAAACATCTTCACTCATTATTTTGCAGAGCTAATCATCGATGTAATAGAGTGATTCACGAGCAACACTGAATCCAAATTTCCCCCCATTTTCCTCTGCAGAATCACGAGTTTGTGGACGAGCAGACGTTTCAGGCCAACTGCATGGAGATCTCTGTGATGAACAAGTCGGGGTCCTGTGGGTCCTCGCTGTCCTCGTCTCCACACGGCCTCAGCTCGTGCTGCTCTCGACGCCACCGTAAGAAGAGCAGCTTCAGTCTGCCCAGCACAAACAACCAGGAACTCAGCACCATACAGATAAGAGAGAGGCCAGTGGCCAACAGGTAGTGTCTCTCGACTCACTCACACCAAATACACACATGCAAACAGCTGTATTGTATGACAAGAAAAAACTGTATTGATTCAATGCTTAGAAAGTGGTGGATTCCGTTTCACTGATATATAGACAATTATCAATTATAAGGAAGTACAAAACATATAGTTGCTGTCCAGTAAAAATCCCTGAGTCTTGATCAGCATGGTAAGTGTTTGGTTAGCTCCTGTTTCTACCAACTTAGAGACACTTCTAAACTCAGGCCCATTGTGTCCAGAGCTGGAGTTGGAAATGATTATTCATGTGTTTATTTCCTCCCCTGACTACTGCAACTCTCTTTTCACTTACCTTTAACAAGACTTCCCTAAATTGACTACGAGTGGTCCAAAATGCTGCTGACAAGCTTTTGACCAATTCTCCAAAAGGTCTCATGTGACTCCCATTTTGTTTTCAATGGCTTCCCATTAAATTTAGAATACAGTTCAAGTTACTTGTGATCATGGTTAGAGCCTTTCATGGTCAGGCGACTGCAGCAGCAGGTCTGTGATGTCCTCTGATCGGTCTTTGTTAGGTGTTCCTCGCTCCAGGACTGAAGGAGACTGTGATTTTGAGGTGGCAGCTCCTAAACTGTGGAACTATCTCCCAATGGAATTAACATCTGTGGACACCGTGGACACACTTGTTTAGAAATGCTCTTGTTTAGTTTCTTCTATTTCTTTAGCTTTCAATCTGCATTTTATGCCGGGCATTTTCTCTTTTACTATGAAGCACTTTGGGCCATCTGCTCTTGAAAGGTGTTATATAAATAAACAGATTATTATCTCCATATTTAGTTTTTAGAATTTCAGATAAACTGAGGGCTGTTTTGTTGATTCAGACAAGTCTCTTATGTATGAGGTTGAATGATCTAAAAGTGCACTGTCATGAAGCTTCAGACAAGTTTGTTTTTTCTAATTTAATGAAGAATTTGCATTTTGGAGATACATGGTTTTCGTTGGACAGTAACAACAGTTCAAAGCATGTGTGATTTTTGAACACGTTGGTTTTCACATTGCATGTGAGAGGGCAAGTTCTCCCAAGTTAGGATTTTTTTTTTACTTACCAATATCTTAAAACACAGGCAAGTGCTGTAAAACCTAAACTGTACTTCTTGATACCACAATGTTTAAGAGAGACAACATGCTATTTCATGAATTGGGTGAACTGACAACCATTAATCTTGGTGTGAAAGATTTAATACACAGGGGAGAATTATTTTTCATGACTTTGCCTGCCATTACATGTTATAATATACATTTCTTGTGTGCGATCTTAAATTGAACATGCAAACAGGACAGTAGGCTACATACAGCAAATGAGAAATTGAATGTATTCACATGTATTCAAAAAAACACACTAACAACTGAGATATGTATACTTAATACCGTTATATATTCACTCGGCACAAAGAACGTGGATATTTCTGGATCATGGCTTTCATACTGTACAGTATGAGAATAAAGAACTCTGTGTAGGCTTTGTGTAATAAATTCACAAGGTCAAGCCTCTCACACTCTTTCATCCCGTGTTTCTTTTACAGCCGCTCCTGCCTGAATGCCAAACTCGATGAGACTGTGCCCTTGAAATGTGACAAACCTTACATCACTCCTTCCATGGTCAGCCTATCTGCACCGGTGGTGACCTCATCGGACGGACACGGCTCCACCACCACCACCGCATACTCTCAGAGCAACATTGTCCGAGTATCTGCCTTGTAGATGTCATGCTTATCTGATCAGCTAACTGGTCTCAAGAAGCACCAGATGCTGAGGAGAGGGACCACCGAGCATCAACCTGCCATAATCTAGAGGGATTATAAGATTAGCAGAAATCGGGGTTTTTGAAGTAGTGATCTCATCTGATGTCAAACTCTGCATGGTATTAAAATGATGTGGACGGCTGCCTTGGAAGTAAAAAGCAAACCAGCAGATCTTGCACCATTAAGCACAGCAGAGCAAGGAAGCGTTGGGATTGCGTGGTTATCGTTGTTGCCTAAAAATACTGAGAAAAAAAACTTTATTTTTGAATATGTATTGTAGTTGTATTTGTTCTCTTCTGATTCAAAGGAGGAAAGGCAGATGTTAAAAAGTCATTCTTGATGGCCTCTGATGACAAAGCACACATATTGATTAACTGAGGGCCATCTTTGTGAATATTAAATCATCTACCTACACATTAGAAACATCCACTTCACTCACCAACCGGATGAATAGATTGTTTTAAAACCCCTCAATTAACTGCTTTCTAATAGTCCCCTCACTGTTGTAAATTTAGAAAACATACATCCACTGGAACGGATAACTGTTGTGAATATTCATTAACTGACTCATTAACTGGTTGACGTCATCGCTTGATGAGTAAAGTATACTACGCATCCTGACATGTTTGTGAAATGTGCAAGTGAAAGTCAAAAATGACTAAATCTGTGTTAGCTTACATATTTGACATTCTGATATGGATCTTTGTGAAAGCCACTGTCATCGATTAACAATCTATATTGAGAACTATACAGGGTACATATTAGTTAGGTGACGAAGTAGAAATATAAGTGAATGTTCTCCGCAACACTTAACTAATACTAACCCTAATGTTGAAACATAGTATTGACCTGGAAGACCATATGAAAGAGTGTTGAACATCAATTCCATTGAGTTGCTCTTAAATTATAATATGAATTATAATAAGCGAGACTTGGTAGATTTCACTGTGTTTAAGGGCCATTTTGTACATTTTTCATATTGTAAATATCTCAGTTAGAACTTTATCGACTGCATTTGAAGTTGGCTCCTCTTATTTCTAGATTTAGTTTACAGTTGTTGGCATACTATTTCTGTCTGTTTACTGGTTGAATTAAGGATTTGCATGCTGTCATTGCAGAATTCTGTTTTATTAAAAGTATGTCTTCTTGTTGGAGGTTTGTCAGTAAAATTGAGATTGATGGAAAGGAAACACAATGAGGCTGGTATGTTATGATGTAAATTCCGCAACACTTTGCTTTTAATGAAATGCAAACCTTGTCATATATTGAGTACATATTTAAGGAGTAAGGAGAAGGGACAAATGATCACACATTGTGCATTTGGTGCAGTGGATAGAATAAATACTGTAGCTCTACTGAAACATCCATTAAATGACCCATGTCTTTTGTTGTTTTTTTACCAGAGCACAATTAGATGGATTTTATAATGTTTTGCCTCAAAGAGCATCACTAATAAGCAGATGGGGATAATAATTAGGTGATGCTGGAGGACATGTGAGGACCTGACTTGTCCTAGTGGTTGGTCCTGCCTGCAGAGTCTCTGGAGACGGACAAGCAGGCCTCAGTGATTGTTTGACAGAGAACTCCCGGGACAGCATCCCTCTGCTGCGCTGATTGCTTCCGTCCAGGCTGTTTCTGGCAGCATGCAGCGCCTCTGCTCTGCAGTGTTAAGTAACTGCTGCAAAGTCATCCTGCACACAATCTAAGATAACAGCAGCATATAAAATATTATACCAAAATAAAAATTCACACTTTATCTTCTGGGGTATAATTGAGTTAATTAAACACTGACTAGACAAACGTTAACCATTTTAATATTTAGGTACATGGTGAATGTTGAATTTGGTCTCGAGCCACTCAAAAGTAGATAGAAGTATAATATGATCATTTCTTATTGAACATAGATACAAACTTGTTTTTAATCCGATAAAACTCTGTCTGAAACTGAGGGTTCACTGCAGCATATATGATAGGGTCACTCAAAGATGTAATGCAGGCGACAGAGGCGGACAGAATGTCCATGTCCAGATTGATCTGAAATAAATCACAGAAAATAAAAAAGGAAACTTAGATAACTTTGTGTGGTGGCTATCAATCTATAAAAAACAGCTTTAAACCTTTGGCTCAGTTTGATTTATAAAAAATAGCACACATGCATACAAAACGCCAGAAGAAATGCATCCTTACCTGACAAATATCTACCTTTGTATTGTTGTTGCCGTGAACAACAAAATTCATCAGGGTGGTTGTGATCAATGGTAACCAGAATAAGAGGAAGGATAAAATGATGTAGCCAGCTCGCTTCGCCATTTGACTTTCCTTCTTTTTGTGCACTCTTTCTTTACTTGCTTTTGAAGGCATCATGCAAACAGCACCTTCCGCCTGCACACTTTGTTTTGTAGCTTCTGTTTCAGGGGCATTATTTGAGACGGGAGGTAATGAAGACATTTGATCTACTGTGGCAACAATCAGTGTTTCTCCTCCATCGGCGTTCGTAGCTTGTTTTAGTTCAATCAGTAAAACAGAAGTGGACCGGTGTTTTTCTAACTGTGCAGATGAGGGAGCATGGGGGGTGGTTTCTTTCATTTCAGGGGGCGCTTTGGCAGTTTTCACTCTCTCTTTGGGCTGCTTTTCTGTGTCAAAATTGCTTGACACCTGCGGCATTGTGGTCGAGCTTTTAACACTGGCAGCAACGCCTCCATTTGATGGTTTTGCTTCAACCTTCGTGTCACAGGAGTTGGACTGCTCTGTTTTAAAATCAGTCTGCACGGCAACCTGCATTGCAGGAGGCTGAGGTTGTTCTGTTTTCAAGTCAGTTATCTCTGATGCAACACTTTTGCTCAGGGTCTGGTTTTGCTCAGATTTTCCGGGTCCATTTTCCACAGCTAAGGTTTCTTCTTTCTTCTGCTCATCTTCAGTCTTTGAAAGACGAAAAGTACCTTTGTCAAATATTTTGTGATTGTGTGATCTCACAATTGCAAATATGCGAGCATAGAATAAAATGATTATAGTAAAGCAAGCTGCCCACAGTGGGAACACCATGTAAAGTCCAAAAGTGTCATAGGAGGATGCTGTTTCTCCACATAATCCTTTGCATTTGGTATGCACCGGTGAGTCCTTCATAAATATCAGACAAAAAAACGCCACCAGAATAGCCAAGATCCATGTGAGAGGAATCTGCACCATAATCCGTCTTTGCCTTTGATTAGTTTTAAAGGGCTGGGCAATGGCCTGGTACCTCTCCGCACTTATACAGGTCAGTGTCAACAGTTGGATGCAGCAGCTGAAAGAGAAAGAGGCCACTTGGGTATCACAGATCAGCGCGTCCACATGTCCTCCTTGATACACGGTCACGACGATGGTGAAGAGAATGGGGCAGTCAATTACACACCTCAGAATGTCTATGACTGCGAGATTTACCACCAGTGCATTAATCGCTGTTTGAAGGGATTTTTGGTGGTAAACTGCCAGTATGACAAAAAGATTTGCTGCAATCCCCACAGCAGAAGTGGTCAACAGAATCAAGCTGTTTGCCACTACGAAGGCGATGTCAGTGTAGTCCTCCCAAATGGTGTTGTTGCCAGAGTCCCATGCAGGTGTAGGCTCGCCTCTCATCTCCAGGTTTAAAAAGCCATCATGTTCAGTTCAGTATCTTCATTCTCTCTATGCCGCCCGAACGCACAGGATGCCTGATTCGCTTGTTGGTAAGGGATTCTGCACTGAGTTAATAATATTAATGGGTGAATCTATAGCTTGGACAAGTATCCACCCTTTTCATTATCACTCCACTGCAGCAGGAGGTCACCTGGGAGTCCTCACTGTTCACAATCATTAAGTACTGTGCTGTGTATTCACAGCATAGACAACTGGGGAAAAAGGGATGGCTGTTAATTGAAAATGTATTTACGTCACTATTGTCTCAATCCGGATTAAAACTTTAAAAACCCAACCAGGGGCTCAAAACAGAAATGCAATAATGATGATGGAATGGCCCTGGGATGCATACGATATTCATACAGTATATGTGTGAGGTAAACAGCTGTCCATTTCATTTAGTTTCACAAAGGTTACAAGCTTTGCGTTAAGCATGCCAGATGGATGATTTGGGAGTTCTTGAATTGGCTCAGGAAATAAAGGGAGCCATGCTGCTGGATTATAGCATGGCATTGTGTAATCCTGTTTGGAGATAAAGTGTGAAATGCTCTTTGCTTCAAATGTGCAAGCTTATGGACTATGCCAAATCTGGGATTAGATCAACACAATACATTTTGCTCCTGACCATCCTACGTATTAGACTAATCAAATGTCAGTTGTGGAAATTCTGGACAATAAACTGTGGTGAATCACAAAACCATGTATCAAATGCCTTGGCAATAAACAAATAATGTGAATATTTCAGACAACTTGCTAAAATAGAAATGAAAAGACAAATTAAGCACACTTTAGGAACAGATTCACATTTACAATATTTACATTAAGTCGCCCAAACAAGTGGGAGGGAACTGTACAAAATAAGCAGCAAAACAAAAAAATCACAATAGCTTATTTTGACTATTTTTTAAAAATACAGCATGACATATTTACAAAAGACTTTTCAGAAACCACTAAACGGGTTTCTGATAGAAATCATTCATAGTGTATTCACACCCCTTCACCTTTTTTCATTTTATTATGTTGCAATTAAAATTTGTGAATTCACTCTTCAATCTCTTTTTGCACATTTATTAAAAAGCGAAAAAAAATAATTTAGTAGTCATCTATGAAACTTGAAATGGAGCTCAGGTGCCTCCCATTTCTCTCCATCCTCTTTGGGATGTTTCTACACCTTGATTGGAGTCTACCTTTGGTTAGTTCAACTGATTAGACATGATGTCTTTATTGGCACTTAAAGCTGAGAATGCTTATCAGAACAAAAACCGAGCCAAGAGGTTGAAGGGAATGCCTGCAGAACTCAGATACCAGATCATGTCGAGGCACAGCTCTGAGGAAGGCTAGAAAACATTTCTGCAGCACTGAACCTTCTCATGAGCACATTTCATTTTTAATCGGGACTCTTTCTAGAGCTGGCTTCCCGCGGGCCAAACTGAGAAATCTGGGGAGAAGTGCCTTGACAGGTAACCAAGAAGCCAACGGTCCTACTGGCTGAGCTCCAGATGGGAGAAAGTTCCAGATGGACAGCCATCACTGCAACACACTGATCTGGACTTCATGGCAGAGTGTCCAGATAGAAGCCTCCCCTCAGTGAAAGACACATGAAAGCCTGCTTAGAGTTTGCAAAACAAAAGCACCTAAAGGACTCTCAGACTGGGAAACAAGATGCTGGTTGTTTGGAATCAATTCTAAGGGTCGTATCTGGAGAAAAGCAGGTACATGAGACATATTTTTGTCAGTTTTTTGGGTAAAATAAGGATTGTCAGATTCACTGACCTTATTGCAAAGGTTTATTGTGAAACGCTACTAAAGTGAATCATAATGTAATGAATATAATCAAATCATCGCTCCCAAAAACAAACATATGAACTAATAAAATTAAAAAACATATCAATGAAATAAAGTAAATCAATATTTACTCCCCTTAGATCAAAAATGAATCGCCTCACTCAAAAGTTAAAACTCTCTTTAATTGTTTCCTTTTCTTCATTCAATGATTTATGTCAATCTTCATTTCTGTGGACCCAGTTTTGGCTCAGGCGTGTGCCACATAAGTCCTGAGTTTGAATCAGGCTCAAGGGTTTCGTCATCATGTCATCCCTTTCTGAACCGTCTAATCCCTCTGAACTGTCTTTAAGAAATAAATAAATAAACACAAATAGGAAATAGACCACAGAATAGGCCAGCTAAGAAAAATGAAGTACATCACTGCCTGACTGTTAAAACATGCACAATGTGAGCTGTGCAGCAGGCTTGCTTAAAACAAGTGCACCCAAATCTCATGTATTTTGTGGGTATTGCAGAACTGATTTATATTCATTGTTGTTCTAGGACAGCCATACAATCTGAGATGGAGCACACTGTGTTGCTTTTGCAGTCCCTGCAACTGATAAGAAATGTGCTAAGTAAACCCCATATTCACACAGGTGCTCATGAGTGAAATTCTGCCTGTATACACTGCAGCAATCTAATAGTATATGTTTTGTGCTGCAGACTTCAAGGAGGTGTGAGAGGTCAACGCTACTATGATGGAGCTGGCTATTGTTGACATTGATTTAATTTATTTACATCATAACATATGGGACGAGGTGACGTGCAGTATGATAATAACTAACATAGAATCAGAGTATTTGTTTCCACACAAAAACACCACACACGATGCATTACCCAACTCCCGCAAAGTGGTAAACATAAAACAGACTTTCAGAGCGGAAGAAGTATCTTTGCACACATGAAAACAGTTCAAGTGCATTTTATTTATGAACAAAAATTCAGGGGTGAAAAGATTCCTCAGAGTCTCTGTGTGTCTGCAGTCCGGCTGTAATTGACTTCCCTAGTCTTGTTAAAAATGCAAGATCACCTTTTTTTTGGCTAGTTTCTCACATGCATACAGTACACACCTGCAAACATCAGTATGAAAGAGGTAACATCTTACTGATCTAAACAAATCACAGAAAGAAAAACATATTACTGAATATTTGTATTGTACTAGAAAAAATGGGATGGACAATAAACACAGGAACACTGTAATGCAATTTAATAAAATACCAAAAACAAATTAGTTTCAGATGAATAATCTCATCTCTTTTATCACCTAACAATGGAACAAAATAAGCACTATTCGGGTGGATTGTATTGGATTGTATTGACGTGTTTCATAAGGTTTTCCATTTGTTTCGTCCACCTCCTCAAAATATCAGTTACTGAGCTGATTTTGTGACCACTGGGCTGCAGTGAAGACCTCTCTGAGAGACATGGGCCTGTAGATGTGCAGGTCTGCGTCCTTGATGAGGCACCGATAGACACCGACAATGTGTTTTTGCTGGAGAAGGTCACAGAGGCAACACCTTGCTGTGCGAGTTGACATTCTTGCTTAAGGAAGTCAGCCGGCTCTTCCTGTTCAAGGAGCGCATGTTGATGCTGACGGTGTTGGGCATATGGGAAATGTAGCGGCCGCACGACAGCATCTCCAGAGTGACATCACGGAACTATTGTACAAAAAAATAAAATATGAGCATCAAGTTCACGTGCAATTCAAATAATTTTTTTCTTGTGTATAAATATTAGCATCTCAATTTTAGAAGCAGATATACACTTTAGCTGCTTACCTGCTTGTTGGAAAGGAAGTAGATAATGGGGTTGTAGACGGGGCTGGTCTTGGCAAAGTACATGGGCATGGTGGCGACCAATGGAGGGATGTAGAGTGTTGGATCCACGACAACCACCACTGACAATACCGTGTAGGGCAGCCAGCAAACAAAAAAAGCTATGATCATGGAGAGGACCATACTGATGGCATGATCATTCTCCTTCTGGCTGGAACGCCCACCCTGGAGCTCCACACTCCTGTTCAGCTAAAAGCAGTAAGGAAATTCCACACCCATTAACAGCTATGTTGTTTTAGTCTGTAAGTGGTAATTTGCAAACTGATGACACATTTTAAATCTAGCTCTAATGGTGTAGAAGTGGAATGAATACACAGAAGCCATCACAAGCCCACCTTATTCATGGATGTGAGCACTTTGGAGTAGCAGTAGATGATGACTGCAACGGGTAAAATGAAGCAGAGGAGCGTGTAGAGGATGAGGTAGCTGTAGTTGCTCCACGATCTCTCCTCCCAGGCCAGAGAGCAGGAGGTCTGGACTCCCTCAGGTCCGTAGGAGCTCCAGCCCAATAACGGAGCCACCGCCCAAAACAAGCAGAAGATCCAGACAATTAGCAGCCCGTTGATGTTTCTCCGCATGCTCAACTTGAGACCATTTCTCGGTTTACACACCACGTTGTAACGCTCGTAGGCAAGCAGGGTCAAAGTCCAGAGTGACACCAGACCTGGGAAAGAGAAATAAGTTAACATAAAAAGAAATCTCAAGTTTCACTTACTTTCTCTGGAGGTTTTAACTACATCTCATTGTCTTTCTCAGGGTTTGAACAACAATATCTTCATTACAAGTGAGAAAACTCCATCCACTGAGGATACTAAGTTGATGTTGTATTACAGTTTGTGTCCAAATTCAAGAATGAAGACGAACAAATATAGAAATAAACATGAAATTTGCAAGATCTGATTACAGTTGAGGGAGATTTTCAAAAAGCATCACACAGACGCCTACAACATGAATATATTTTTAAAGCCACAACACATTCTGAGATTATGTGAAGTGAAACAAAAAGATCAATATTCTAGCCTTGAGATAGTGTCTTAGAATGACACGGAGAAAACAAAAATTGCTCTCAAAAAGTCTATACAACACAAACTGCTCTCCCACAACTCCACTTACCAAAATAATTGACTGCAAATCCTTGAAACACGCAGGCTGTGTGGCTGATAAAGAAGGAGCCTTGGTAGTTGGTGATGGTGACGACCAGGGAGCCGCACAGGCCTATCATCAGGTCAGACACCGCGAGGCTGAGGATGAAAACGTTCATGGGCTGGAGGAGCGACGGATTCCTCAGCAACACGGTTATGATGAGAACATTGTTAAAAACTGTCAACACGGTGTTGATGAACATGAGGAAGGAGAGTATACTGTAGCCCAACCGAGGGAAGACGGTGGGCGTAATAGTCGCCATCTCGGCGTGGAGGGATGGAAGAGGAGAGCCGGAGCTCAACAGCGTGCTGCTGCTGTCCATGGTGCCTATAAGAAGTCCAGCTTTGGTGGAACAATTGTGAGGCCAGATACCGAACCCGCTGACACTCAGCTCAGCTCGGGACACAGCATCACCGATCTTATCATTTCTGATCCCTCTAAAACCACTCGGCTTTGCTTATTTTCCAAGAACTCAAATTGGGCACCTGTTTGATGGAGAAATCCCCAAATGCAATATGGGGAATTGGTCCGTAACACGATTTGAATGGATTAGTCCCAATAAACCCACTGCAATAATGGTAATTAGAAAGTAGAGGGATATTAAGGAGTGATGAATTAGCCCTGAAATTTAATTTTCAAATTATGAAACATTTCTTCCTTTAGTTGTTTATACAGCTAATCGAAGTGAAAAAAAGAGCATAGTACAAATGGATTAAACATTAAATAAACACATACCTGCTAATCTAATTACATAAGTATCCAGCCATATCTATTTGCTTTAAATTCATGACTCATGGGCCATTAAGCCTAATCCATTTTAATAAACAGTGAAATAAAAATATACTTCATATTTTAAACTACAGAAACACAAATAAACCATTTGGCCACAGATATTAAAGAGTTCCCCATTTCCAGATTATATGTCAAATGCATTATTTTCAAGCCTTCATTGTAAAAACAATTCACGCATTTGTGAAAAGTGTGGAACTCAATGAAACTCAATGCCACCTTAACAGATCAACTAGCAACTCTCTTGCTAAATAGAGCAACGACGTTCTATTTTTCTTCCTGACAAATATGAACATTTCTCACGTGCTAAAATTAGACATACAGGCTGTGCTGTGTGGAACCTGTTCAGACAATTAGATACAAAGATCTCAGACCATGAATGTGCAGCATGTATCACATCACAATGGGCGGTTCCAAATGAGATCAACCAAGGGGCAACATTTGAAAAGCTTCATTAACACAGATTACATTAAACTATTGCAAAAATATACACACTGCAGTAATGTGACGAAGTAGATTAAGGCAACAGAGTTTGTAACGTAAATGTCACATCTGAGTATTCCCATTTCACTGACAGTCTCATATAGTTTTACAGATGCAAAAGATAGAAAAAAGGTAATCTTCAATTCATACTACAGACATGTGATAGACATGATGCGTGACTGCCCCCTGGTGTTTAGACTGTGTAAATACAGCATCATTGCACAATTCCTCACTGTACCTCTCACACACACACATATATACATATACACGCAACTCTAAAACAATCAGTGCATTCAATATTTCTAATTCTGTGTGACAAAAATGTAAATGTACAAAGTGTCCATGTCTTAAATAAAAACATCACACTGCTCTATCGGCCAAGTGTCATTTTGCTGAAATAGCACTAATCCACTGGTCCGCTTAAAGACTGAATTCTTTGAGGGGAAGTTTGTAACTAATTAGTTTAAAGCTCAATTAACATCAACAGCCTACGGGATTGTTACCAGTTAAACATATCTTAACATGTGGCATGCATCTTCTAAAAATCCATATCTCTCAAATTGAAAAATGAATTAATTATCGGAGTCTGCGGTCATCCTGCTGAGCTGTGAGGAGACGCTAATACTAGCAGGACTGTGTTCAGGCCAGAAGGGGGCCTCGTGCTGCAGGGGAGTACGGCGAGGGAAAAAGGTGTGCTGGAAGTCGTAGTTGAGCAGGCAGCTGATGGAGGCCATGTAGATGTCAGCAAAGCGCGAGAGTCGGCGTGAGAAGTAGGTGGGGTTGTGGTACGTCCGGAAGAGACTCCCGAACTGAGGGTTGAAGATGTCCTTCGTCTGTGACCTGCCGTGGAAACACATTCATACCATCGAGATGAGGTTCGATCAGTTCTACAAGATCTCAATCAATGAACTACTGTTGACTGCTGGAGTAATTATCTCCATTACCTCATGGCTTCTCTCTCTTTGATCCACTCCTCCACGACAGCTTGAGACGCTTCATCCCTGTGTACCTGTTTGGGAGCAGCGCAAAGAAGTTAAGCTCACACATTCGAGGATAGAGGCAAAGAGAGAAGGACACATGTGTTTTTATAGAGTCTCCTGACCTGCATCTGCTCGATAAGCCCAGTCAGCGCCTGTAACCAGGCCATCATGTGCATGTACTCCTCCGTGTTCATGATCTTGATCTCCTTCCTCAGCTCAGGGATGATGGCGCCCGTCCTCCAGCCATGTTTCAGCGTTAGATCCTGCAAAACAAAGGACCGGAATCGTCAATAATTCAGGAATTCACCTGCTTGTGTTAGTGTGAGTTGTAGGCTTGAAGTACATATCATACAGTACAGCCAGAATTTGAGTGTGAAGTGAGACATTTTTGGGGGATTCTTCTGCGTATTTGGACAATTTAATAAAACTGCATGAAACTGGAATAAAGTATAGCTTCCTCCCTCCCTCCCCTGTAACTCCTTACTAACTCCGAGATGCTTCTGCTCTGTGTCTGCGCTGACTCTCAGCTGTGGTTGGTGTAAACCACAAACGCCAAGTTCCATCTTTCTAAACAAGCGATCTGTTTGACAGCTGGCTGGCTGCCACTAGCAAGGCATTATGCCAGAGATGTAAACTCTGCGTTTCATGAACATCATTTACAGCTGATCAGACACATTAATCTATCCAAGTCGTTATAACTCATTGTGATTCAGTGAAATGTTTGTTTAGCGCAGATGAAGGGCAGGTTGGTAGGTTAATAGGTAAATACTCTCTGCAGAGATGTGATACATCAGGAGAAACTGACACTAAAATACCTGTCAACCAAACCCACTGCAGTGCTACGGTAACTGTGTTATAATGCACGAAGAATTACTTTCTCAACCCATTTATTTTACTGTCTTTGTCAAGCATTCGCTAAGTGTCTTATTATGTGCTTCTTCAATGAACGTTAAGATTTAGGCTGTTGCATATAAAAATTAACTCGGACTTTAATTTCAGGAGAAACATACTTATCTTAAATGGAGCATGGTCAAAGCAGGGTTCCGCTCTTTGTTTAAAATATCGTAATTTTTCATAATACAGTGTTTTGTGTGGTTGTAATGAGCCCTTTGTAGTAAATATGGATGCTGCTTACTGCCAAGTCACTGTAGATGTGATCCCCGAAGTACAGCACCTTGGATCCTCTCCAGCCGGTGAGTCTCAGGAACTCGTAAAGGTTTCCCTACAGTGATCAAACACACACGTTAAAAAAAACAAAATCAACCATGTATTTTATTAAGTGTATCCAGGAGACATTTTTCAGGAATTATGAGAACACCTGTTTGTAGATCTTCCCTTTTTCCAACTTGTGAATCCTGTCCCACAGCAATGCACCTTTGTCTGTCACTCGCCTGAAAGGTCTGGTGAAAAATACACAAAGACAAATTTTACCCAATATTGGCTGGCTCCCAAACAAACACACACCAATGCACATTATGTGTACAAGTAATGAACAAGGTAACTGCAGGAAACGTGGCGCAGTGGGGTGAAAGAGGCACAGCATGGTCATAGCATGAGCCTCAGACACAAACTTAGACACTTACTTCCTCCTGTCGTTGAAGAAACCAGGTTTGTCAGCCTGAACAATCACGACATCAAACAGGTCTCGCCAGTCCTTCCCTACGATGTAGTTCATTCCTCGGTCCCTGAGGACAGAGATTCAAGACGTTACCATGTCTACAACATCACGAGGGAACTATAACAAACTCCTGAGCTGAGGGCAAAGCGATACACCAGCGATACATGTCACACGTGATACAGGCTGCATGTTAGTGCTAGTTTAAATAAAACTCAATGAAACTGCCATGATACTTTTAACATATATTTCATTTCACATCTCGATATAAATCACGATATAGCTTGTTTCCTTGTCATCCAGTAAATAAATAATCTATATGACATAAGAACATAATTTTGTATGCTCCTGTGTGAACTTTAGCGCAAAATTATCACATTTTCTAATTTGAATATGTGCTTGTTATTATCAATTTAGACAAAGTAATGGTGTATTATGATATCTCAATATGATTAAATTGAAAGACGATAAATGATCATATTGAATTATCGTCTAGCCCTATTTTAAAAAGGGAATAATGCACATCCAACCCAATTAGGTACAGGTGCAGGACACAAAACTGCAACAAAGGAAAAAGGACAGGCTGGAGATGACAAAATCCTTAATAGATTGTAAACAAGTTTGAATATGAATCCGAGAGGACGTCAAGGTCAAAACATTGCATTGGTAAAAACTTGGGAACTTCAGCATGTGTACAGACTCTCCTTTTCCCTTGTTCCGTGTTTAGTGCTGTGAAGACTGAATGTAATAAACCATGAAATCAAGGACACAGGTTTGATGTCTTTGGGCTCCGGGAAGCCTTTTGAGGTTGAATATGCACAGCTGGCCATTTTGTGCAATCAAGCCCGACTTCAAAAGCGGCTCATAGTCAATAACTTACAATGAATTACAAATACTTGCGGATGGAAAGCCCTTTGATGTGTGGTTGCCGAACTTCAAAAGTTGAGGCATTAAACAATGGCTTCAATTAAATATTAGTACAACGATACAAGGCTGTTTAAATGAATCACACTTACACAAAGTCAAGTGGGCTATTGGTAATGAGGAACATCTTTTTTCCGTGCTCTGACAGCTTCTTCAGCACAGCATGGCTTTGCTCACCATAGCAAATGTATTTCTCTAGAAAATGAGAAAACAGAGAGGTGGGTGATTTAATTATACTTGTACAGCCTCGTTATTTCAGAAGTCATTGTTTAAGTCTTGGCACCAAACTTAGATGTGGCCATATACTTTCTTTAATTTTGGCTCAAACAAAGTAAAAAGGCTATAAATCAAAAGGTCATTATTACCAATATCTGCCTCCACAGCTCGGTACATGATGCCCTTGACGTGAACATCTCTAATGGCTTCCTGTGAAGAGGAACAAGTAGAGCCAGGAAGTCACAACTTCAGAGACACAACGTTAGCATTCAGCTCCGGGAGCAACACTTTGCTCTGAATATAAACGGTTGACTTGGAAGCACAAAGACAGCGCCTCTATGAATACAAATGAAATATAAAGAAAGCAGACCCTGGAGTTTAGCTGCTTTGGTGACACAGTGAGAGTTTCCAAAAACATTTTCAACAGTGTAACCTGTGCTTTTGAATCAGTGAATGAGTAAATATCTCCCTTGAGAAGTAGCACATTCAAGGGCAAACTTAAAGGACGTTTGTCATAGTCAAAGAACATTTGATGTATACAAATTCAAAAGGAAAAGCAAGAAAAAGAGTAAATGCTGAATAAGAAACCAGGCTTGGCAGGAAAAATAAAGATTAAGCGGGGTGTCCTTGACAAGATATAAGAGCCACTCGTGGAACTGAGAGCGTGTCTGAGGGCTCTTAATGACAGCGATCCATCAAAAACGCTTCGTTGTCACACAGAATAGACAGGACCAGCATGACAGCTGCCCTCAAAGGGAGAAGGCGGCGCTGGTTTCTCTGCGCTCTCCCTCTGAAGCAGCAGAGCCACCAGAGAACAGACGCAGATGGCTGGAGGCAGGCTTGCCCGACTAAAATTAGACTCCGGTTTTCACAGCTAAAATTAAGACTGAATTGAATGGCTGGAGTATCACAGCAACACTGCGGCTGGATTTAATGCCTTTACACACGTTGACCCCTGGGAGATACAATAACAAGTGAGTGCAATATATTGTATGCTGACATTAATCAATGTCACAAAACAACAACAAGGTAGTTCACCTTTACGTCTTTGTAGAGATGCACTGGCTCATAGTCGATGTTGTGCTTCATGAAGAAGTCATTGACACAAGACAGGAGATTCATCTCAGGCAGGGAGAATATGTCCATGAACTGTTTCATGGTGTGGCCATGGGAGCTCTGCAGAACAGTGATAAACATCATTATATTCAGTCGTTTTTATCTCCGTAGCGTCTACCCCGTCATAGATAAGATAGAGAATGATTCACCTTGCCATAGAAGTCGCTCATGTTCTCGAGAGGTACATGACAACCATCATACATGGCAATTACTTCCTCATCAGGGACTGGATGAAGACCCCTGTAGAAGAAACACAACATATCAAATCCTGAGACAATGTTTTCATTTATATCATGCCACAGAAAAGCTGTAAGATGTGCAGCGTCGTCCTTTAACTGATGAGAAACGACATGTTATACTCACACAGTGCTGTGTGTTTTTCATTACCCACTACCCTGATGTGAGAAGTAACACAGTGCACAGATACCTGTATACAGTTCCCAACTGGATGTAGTGAAAAGCATCTATCTTCATCAGCAGTCCCTGTTTAAAATCATTAAATATTTCCACAAAAATGATCATTTAATAAACACTGAGTGTGCGGTACAATTGATGCAAACTATATAACAACAGTCCATTTTTTGAGTTAGATAAGCAAAGACCTTCTCACCTTCTGAACGTCATAGTGAAGTCCTCTCACAGTGAAATTAGGAATATACTCATAATTTCTCAGACCCTCTGGATACTAATAAAAGAAAATCAAATATTTTAGTGGCAACAAAACAGGGCATTACATCTGCTTAATCTAAAAACATTTGAGCAACAGAGTACACCACGAGCCTGATCCATAGTCCACCTATGTAGGTAAACACTGTGCTTGATGGTGCAACACATTTGTAGCCCAGTTTAAACCTTAGATGTGAGGTGAATATTCTGCTAATGATCTCTCCAACTTAGGGAAGCTGAGTACGTGGGGACTCGGGAACCAGAGGATCGCTGGTCAAGTCCAGTGCAGACCAAGAACAGAGTGTGGACTAGTAGCTGGAGAGGTGTGCAAAAAAGTTTAAAAAGTGTCAAGTGAGCCGCACACTGTACACACACCCTGTGGTTAGTGACGAGAATGTCCCGTGCTATGTTGAAGATGAGGGTGTGCAGGTTCCTGGAGTAGAAAGCCAGGGTGTAGTCGTAGTCGAAGCCGTAGACCTCCGTGTCTCGTAGGCTCATCTCATTGTTTGCAAAAATGGTGTCAGGGTTGATTGAGTTGGTGCAAATGGCTGGGACCAAATCTAAGAGGAGAGAAACACATGGGGTTGTTTTTTTGTTGCTATGACAGAAAGGCATATCTTAGGACATACGTACATATGTCTTGAAGGTGGTGGATAAATCCTTTTGATTAGGTGTCTGAACAGGGCCAGTACACACCCACATGGAGTACCTGGACGCCTGATATCTGTCAACTTATGTTACTTATGTCACCGTTCTAATAAATAAAAGTAATCATGGTGTATACTTGTGATGCATCTGGAGTTTAGCCACTTCCTACTATCCACTAAACAGCTGTGATAGGTTACCAGATACATGCATTAATTATGCAGAATCCAGGAAAGGACACATTAATAGGCTAGATACTAGAGCTAATGTAAAGTAGGGGTTTCTCTCTTCTCTTCAGATGGAAATATTCTCTCAGACATTTTGACACTTATGGACTCCAAAAACAGATCAAATGTTAGGAATGACAGCAATAAAAAACACTTGTGTTTTAATGGACCTAATAGAGTACTGGTACACTAGATTTCTGTTCAACTACAGCTACTTATTTCTCAGTATCTCCAATATTTTAATGGTATTTTCATGGTGTATTTGCAAATACTGTAATTGGTCTGTTTCCTGCTCAAACAAGCCTGCAGAGGAGGCAGATATATGGAGCTGTGTGAGGTAAAAACATGTGGACTATTTGCTTGAATTTATTGTAACCACCTCCAAAACCCTTTGTGCATAAAACATCTGTGCAGAGCCTCTACTGTAGGTACTTGAATTTCATTCTATTTTAAAGGTGTTTGTGTGTATGTGTGTCACACATTGACAAAGTAGCATAGCCTATAGTTACAATATATCATTCCGACCACAAGTGGAGGTTTGGAAGGCTGCAGAACTGGTTGGTGCGTAAAGTCTGCTGTAAACATTAGTCATAACAGCGTTATACGGCAACAATAGTCCTGAGTCCACTGAGTGTCCGTACCTTCAGTCTGCCTTTTGGTCTCATTGTAAACAGACCGCAGCCTCTCGGTCATGTCCTGGCCGCCTGAAGAGCTGCGACACACAGATGCTGCGTAGTTTGGGGATCTGGGTTGGTGTGACAGTAACTGACCGACTCCATGGGATACCGCACCGAAACTCCGTTTCCATAAGCGAGATGTGAATGGCCGTTGGTGTAAACTCTGTAAGACATTGCAAAATACATTCGCCTTCCGCAGACAGTCCTTGTGCTTCAGAAGAGACGACAGGGGCAGAGACAAGGGCGCCATGACTCTTCGGGTTGCAGCCCGTTTGTAGGTCGCGGTGAGGTCCCAGACGAGAACGCATGCACTTCTCCAGCTCTTCTGTAAATACCGAGAGTGTCCCTTTTTTGGTTGGTTTTTTTGACGTTACTTCCGCGTTTAGCAACGTCCCGGCGAGCCAGCGAATCAGAAGCTGGTGCGTCTGGAGATCAGATCGCTTCCTACTGTCCACCAAACAGCTGCGATGTAACCGGATACATTTATTAAATATGCAGGAGTGTCTGTTTGTCGAGCATTGAAAGACTGGAGATTTGAAATATCTCAGGCATAATGGCACATAAGGAACCCAAAACGATAGATAAACTTTTCATAATTTTGATTTAAAATCAAATTATTCTGACATAGTATCTCACTGTCTGGATGAGACTATTTCATAACTTTGACTTAGAGAATATAAATTGTGACTTAGTTATCTTATAATTAAGTCATAATTGTAAGATACTAAGTCATAATAATGAGAGTAATAATAAAGTTATAATAACGTAATAATTAATCAAAAGGTAGCCTTTTTAAGGCAAATGTATCATTTTTTGAGTTGAGGTTTTGTCTCATTATTGTGAATAAGTAAATTTACTTCTCAAAGTATTTACTTTGTCATTCATCATAGTAAATCAAAATTATGCGATGCTAGGTCAGAATTTAGGCTTTTTAGGGACACTCTTATGAGATTTTTATTATTTATTTTTATTTCTGATATATATTCCATTTCTGACAGAAATGAAAATAATCATGGTAAAAATTGTGAGATGCTACAAAGTCATAATTTAGGCTTTTTAGGACACTTGGCGAGAGGACTAGTTATAATTGTATACATTTGACCTTAAAATGTCTAAGTTTGACTGAGTATCTCAACTCCTATTTGACATCTGTAGCTTTATCTTATGCTCACACAACCAAGTACACGCCCGTCAGGCAGACTGAGAATAATAATGTGCGTATTTGTATGATAATGTAACGCGCTATTTATTTAACCATTAGTGATTCCAATTTGACATAATCTCAGTCTTTCAGCCCTTGTTCATAGTGTGAACGGGGAAATTGCATTTTCAACTCACTGACTTAACAGCGACACCTTGTGGACAAATATCAGTAGTGCAGATAACGTGTAGTCATCCCTTGTGTGTTTTTTAACAGCAGGATATCTAAGTACAATGACTCCACACGATCTAGTCTAAATACTATACCACATAAACATGAGTAGATAAACATGATGTCATTTAGACTATCATAAACTGTAACAGACACAGGCATAATGCTACAGTCAGTGACAATACATAGAGAAATAAACACAATCCCCAGAGTAATCCAGCCTCAGTGTCACTTGTCTGTGAAATTGCATAAGAAAATCAAAGTTTAACTAACGTGTTGACACAGATTTTTTTTCCCCCATATTGAAAGGTGAATTTTAGGAAGTGATGTGCGGATTGTTCATTCCTGGCCAATGGTGTCTAGCCACGATTTTCGAGTATTGACTTATGTTGAAGAATCTGATTGGACAACATGTACCAAGGTGCTCTGCTCTGATTGGTCTAACTTTGTGCGTGGTGCGCAGCCATTGGTCGGCTGTCACGGGTTAAATAAAGTGGGCTCGTTTGGTGGGAGAGCTCGTCTGTCTCTCTTGTTAAGGCTGTGCTACGGCTTTTGTTTCAGGAGCTGAAGACACACATCGTCATTCACGCAGAACCGCAACATGAGACGAGTTTGGGTGATAGGTCTGCTTTGCGCACTCGTTGCCTTTGGTGAGTACCGGAAATATGTTTGCTAAATAGTCTCACTTTTTATCACCCAACATTGTAGCTAACGTTAGCCAGGGAGCTAACAGTGGTGTGAACTTGTGTTGGTGCTTCTCTGCTCATTCGTGACTACAGCCTTTCATTTGTTTGTCGTTTTTTAAGGCTTAATTTTGCCCAAATGTTAATGATAGACAGTGTGATAGACTAAGCTTCAACACATTTGTTGTAGAAACGCTAGTGTGCAGTATTTATAATTGCCTAACGTTATGTTAAAGCAGGTTGATGCTAGCTAACGTCCCCATTAAACCGTTGCTATTGTGTCATGTGCATGCATAGTGTGGCTCATTAAAACCATCCTACTCAACATTACACCTTTTTATTTGATTATTTCCATCACGACTTCACCAAGCCTCATTCTAAATGATCTTTAAGTGCAGTATATCTCTTCAGATACTAATATAATATGTATATTTTTTAATCCCCTTGGCAGCTGCTGTAAAAGCAGAGGATGAAGTTGACGTCGATGGGACAGTAGAGGAGGACGTTGGTAAAAGCAGAGATGCCTCCAGAACAGATGATGAGGTGGTGCAGAGGTAGGTGTCACTTTGAATACGTTGTTCAGAATGTGCCTGTTGGGTGAACTGTGGTTGTCCCTATCAAAAGAAAAAGGTCGTCTAAACCTAGAGTTAACAAGCACAAGGTCAACATGACCAAGCTTGTGCACACAAATGCTCACAGCAGCTCTTGAGATCCGCAACCTTTGATGCACATCCGTCTTAGGGAATCCTGTGTGTCTCGGCTTTAACTAGAGGCGCGAACAGATTAGTTTTTTCCCTGTTGGCAACTATGGTTTGTTGTGCTTTTCCCCTGATTTTGTGTGTGTGTGTGCTTCTGTCTATCCCCAGAGAGGAGGAGGCTATCCAGCTGGATGGCTTGAACGCAGCTCAGATCAAGGAACTGAGAGACAAGTCGGAAAAACACGTCTTTCAGGCTGAAGTCAACCGTATGATGAAGCTGATTATCAACTCTCTCTACAAGAACAAGGAGGTGAGCGAGAATAAATAACCTCCTGATGTACAAGCACTGGTTTCACAAGATGATTCTGTTGATTTACTTTCATCAGAGAGGTGTAAATTCAACAGTATATTAAATTGTATATCTGTAATATTCTTTCCCTCATGTTTGAAAACGGAGTGGGCATATTATTAAAAACACCTCAATAAATTAAAGTCCAGTACAATACTCCTAAAAGCTACCACCTCAATAATAAACATACTTAATTAATACATCTCTGACAGTATCAATCAAACCTGATCTGTATTGTCTTTTATAGAAGTAGACTTTATGACTGAGCTGTTGTATTGGATTGCATTAGATTTTACAGATGTTCCTCATAAAGTGGCCACTATGTATAAAACTAATTAAAACAATATTTTGAATGATTTACAAGAAACTCACCCTAGCCTGTAATTTGAGTGAATTGCCATTTTCACTAAAATCCTTAAGGCAGCGTGGAGCAACGGATTCATTATGAAAATCAACTTTATTAAAACGGCACCCGCCAAATTTTATGGCATTCAGTTTTGAACAAATATACCATCAGCTGCCACTGAATGAACAAACTGGGTAACGTGGTGTGACCTGCTGAGTGTCTGTCGTCCAACATCTCTCACTGTTTGAGGTCACAGGGAGTCTGTGTCTCGTGGTTGAACTACTGGGCAGGATATTGTGTTGTAATTATGTCTTACAGACCTCTTCAGGAAAGGTTGAACTAATAATAAGATCTTTGCGTCTGTTTCAGATCTTCCTTAGGGAGCTGATTTCCAATGCCTCGGACGCTCTGGATAAGATCCGCTTGTTGTCTCTGACCAACGACGAGGCAATGGCCTCCAACGAGGAGCTGACCATCAAAATAAAAGTACGCACAAGAAGGACTTGCTGTACGATGCAGTCTTTACAGTTAATGTCGGTAGTTCTCGCTCTGTTGGTAACTTAACTGTATTGTTCCTGTCTCCAGTCTGATAAGGAGAGGAACATGCTCCACATCACTGACACTGGTATTGGAATGACCAAAGAGGACCTGGTGAAGAACTTGGGCACCATTGCCAAGTCTGGCACCAGCGAGTTCCTCAACAAGATGAACGACATGCAGACCGAGGACCAGTCGACCTCGGAGCTTATTGGCCAGTTCGGTGTGGGATTCTACTCGGCTTTCCTCATTGCCGACAAAGTCATCGTGACGTCCAAACACAACAATGACACCCAGCACATCTGGGAGTCCGACTCTAATCAGTTCTCTGTCATTGAGGACCCCCGCGGGGACACACTGGGCAGAGGAAGCACCATCACGTGGGTTTTACATTTTGTTTTTAAGTTATCTTAAAATCTCCTTCAGCAAATTTAGCTGCTTCTTTTAGCGTAATAAACTGCTGTTAGTTGTATTGGTCTTCACACAAACGATACTATAACGCCTACTCAATTAGACCTTGAATGCTGTTTTCCTGTTACAACTCTACTCTCAAATATTATAATAGTATTCTAATTAAATCATCCCCATCTTGTTCTAACATCAGGCTGGTCCTGAAAGAGGAGGCCTCAGACTATCTGGAGCTGGAGACCATCAAGAACCTTGTCAAGAAATACTCCCAGTTCATCAACTTCCCCATCTACGTGTGGGCCAGTAAGGTGACTACTTGAGACACTTCCTCCCACGCTGTGACTCAGACTTCATCCCAGCTCACTGTGTTATGAAACTGACATATGAAATTACATAATTTCTTCTCCTCAACATGCCAGACTGAGACCGTTGAGGAGCCCATCGAGGAAGATGCTGAAGCAGCAGAGGAACCGGAGAAAGAGGCTGCTGAAGAGGAGGCAGAGGTAGAGGAGGAAGAGGATGAGGACAAAGAGAAGCCTAAGACGAAGAAGGTAGGAAGTTCATATAGGGATGACTGTTATTAGTTAAATGAAATCAGGGATGTCCCTGACGGATCATTTACATAGTCAAATCTGATTGGTCAAGTCTTTCCTATAGCAGTGTCATGTCTTTTTCATTTCCTGCTCACTTCTGTTTAAGCTGCATGTATCTATAGTCAAAACAACATATGCTTGTTGTTGTCGCTGAGCTGTTTCAGAATAACGTGTGTAGTGGCGCTGTCTGTAGTACTGACACGGAGCACAGATCAATAGACGGAGACGGTTTCTTTTCCTGCTTGCGTTTCGTGGTTATAAATAGAACTTATGGTCCTAATTCCTTTTTTAGCCGTCCACAGTCGGTGGGGAGAGAAATGCAAGCTGCAAACATCTGTTTTTGTGCGCCTCCCCGGTTGATTTTTAGAGACGGTTCATAAATTCAAAATCTAT